TCATTATCAGTGTCTGAGCCTCTCGCACAGGGAGGTGTGAGGAATGTTGGAGTACAGTTTGCTTCTTACTCATTCCCACCTCCTAATTATTAATGTAATCCTGATTTAACAAGAAGCAAATGAAGTGCAATGAGGAAATTTAGCTGCAATCCCAATAATGTGATAAATGATTAATGAAATGACAAAACACTTAGCTTGTATTTTTTTTTTAAATCTGCTGCAGTATCAAACAGTTTACCTGTATGTTATGGTTGCTTTTGTTACATTTGGCTGAATTGTTTTTGTAATCTCCCCACTGCTGGTTAAAATCTGGATGCAGAGGACTATGATCAATGTGTAGTGTTATGTCCCGTCTAGGGGTGGCCAGGACACAACTTGAATACCCCATCTTCCCCGAGTCCCAAGTAGCCACAAAAATGAATTACTAAATTTATCAATGGGAGTCTTTATTTACAGAAATTAGGAAATTATAACTTAAGGCTGGACAAAATAACAAACAAAAGAGGTCTACCTGATAACAAAACATAACTTTCCTAAAGATAACCAAAACCAAAATACATCAACCAAGCTCCCTGTCTAACAAAACAGGAGAAACGGTGTTCAGAAAGAAAAAAGACGTATGGCCATGATGACAAATGTGGCTGGTTGGGACTGGCAAAAGAAGAGGTTCTCCCCTCTAGCTACTCAGCGCCATCTTGCTCTTTAAATCCTGGTGGCCAGGACAAGAGCCAATCAGCTGCCACTGTGAAAGCTGCGCCCCAATCACCGTCTGGTTCCGACACACCTACATTTGCATACATCATGATCACACCACCTGTCACAACACAAAGAGAACACATACAACGAAATAATACTATACGGCCGCAGTTGTAACAGTAGCCCTGAAATACAAGTCAAGTGTCAGCGTTAAAATAATACTATACCATTGTCCTTGGTCCAGCATGCCATGTATGTGACTCACCTGCAGGTCAGGATCTGACCCCAACACGTAACATGGGGCTGCTCAGTAAAAAAAAACAAAAAAAAACACACAATGCTGCATAAGCTGTGTGCTGCATAAACATAACACTTTTAATTAATGTAAACTAAACTATTAGACATGGCTTGATATACATGTAGAAGAAATGAAAGTTTTAAATGCATGCAAATCTATTAGCCAGTGACCAATACCACAACAGGTGCATCCCCACATCACCATACCAGAAAGCAGCAGTGTTGTGTAAGTTTCATAGCTTTTTTGTTTTTAACATATCTTAATTTGTCTGTAACCCATCAATCATCATCAATGTTAATGGCAAAATGTGGTCCTGGTGCCACCTACTGTAGCAGGAACTACCACAGAGGTGGTTTTGAGTACTTTGGCAGGTCTTTATAGATCTGTCTGTCTGTTTGCATCTTGCACGGCTTTGACGTTGTCATGGTGACAGTCATGAAACTTTGTCACTTTGTCAGGTGTGTAGCTGAGTTGAGATGAAAATGAAGGCCGTGGTTCTTCTAGTGCTATCATCAGGTCAAAATCTTCATTTGTCTAGTATTTGGGTTTCTGACTAGACATCTGCAAAAATCATTGTCAGATTTAGTATTGTGATGCTGGCATTAGCATGTAGCCTAAAACACCACTGTACCTGTGCAGTATAGCCTGGCAGAACCACTAGCACGGCTGTGCACTAATAAACCATGTCCCTATTCTTTACCATTCGTCTCACTATACTTTACTTTTATGTTTCCTTCACTCTGGCAACCTGAAGGTTTATATCAGTTCTGGAGTTGTTATTTAGTTGAATTTTATTTTCCCTCTCACATGGTTCTTATGCAAATAACTTGACATAAAAGGAGCTGTTCCTTTTAATTGTACAGTTTGACTGATCTGTTGGAGGATTATCTGTCTTTATTAATGATAGAAATCAAAAGGAAACCTAAATTGTACTTTGGTTTTGGACCTTAGGGACCTCAGGAGCCAGTGCTGTCTGTGTGTGCAGCCTGGCATTCTGTTTATGTTGACATTTGCAATGTAGACATGATCGTTGGTAAGCTTTGGAAATGACACGATGTTGCAGAGTATACAGTGTCAGTGGTTTAATTTAGTTCATTTTTCTGTGCATGCACTCAAGCATTTCTGTGCAGTGTAAACACACTGCTTCGCCATTTCCTGCCATGGTTTGTATGTAGGACAACAAGGTTTTGTTTGTGACTGTTTATGGCCTGGTGTTAGTATGTGGCACTATATATACACCCATACAGAGAATCTCATCACGAACCTCTGTAAGCAGCTGCTCTCCCCGGCTATTTTAAGTGCTCTGATGTGTAATGTGGTAATGCACTGGGCAGCGTGATGTTTTTTAACACTACAAGCTTCACCTGCCCAGTTCCCTCACACGTGTTTGCACACAAAACGTTCATCTTGGGACCAAGAGAGGTATGTCCCAACAAGCATGCTCAGGCAGTAATGACCACTCTCTAGTGGCTTTGTCCACTTTAAACTCCAGCTGAATGAAGCAGTCAACAGGCCAAAGCCATAGGGAATAACACTCAAAAGTAGGTCACACGTGTTCAGAGACGAAGATGAAACTGGGCCAAATAGAAAAGTTCATATGAAGACAGTTTTAGTTTTTGTTTGTGTAGTTTATTTAGAGTTACCTTTGCCATTTCTTTTTGTATGTTGTTTTGAGATAGTCATTGATAAATGTATAATGTAATTGAATTGTTATAATATGTCCATATTTAGTTTTTCTCTTTGTATTTAAAGTTATCATACCATATCTTGTCATATAAAATGGCACAAACACACTTATTATGTACAGAATCAGTTTTTTGTCAATAATAAGTAAATAGTTTCTAAATTAAGTGGAATTTAAGCAATTTAAATGATTCCTTTAATAATGTATTTCTTGTTTACAACATTCCTATATTAGATAAAGGTTTTTCAGTTATTGTGGTAGTCAGTATCACAACACTTATTTGTGTTGTGCACAGAAACATTTAGGCTTTAAATTTGTTCCTGCAACCTATAATGAGCTTCATAAAACCAGATGGTTTTACACATCCAGATGAACAGCAAACTATGGCTGCACAGTTAATCTTTGGACATTGCAAGTGCAATATCCAAATCTGCAATTTTTTGATAAAGGTAAAATGTGCCACAACAAACCATGAATGAACCATTGGGGTGCTGCAGAGATGTCTTGGCCCCCAAATCACATTCTCCAAATGTAAGGGAACATACTTGTTTGGTACAGACCCAAACAAAAATCATCAAGTGAAATGAAAAAATGACCATTTCAACAATAATCGTGACTCATATCGCAGTCACAATATCTGTGAGTAAACATCCAGTATAAGGCTGCAACTAATGACTGAAATTTCTTAAAGCCCAAGGTGATGACATCAAGTTGCTCATTCTGCTCCACTTATACTTACTGTATATCTAAAGATTGTTTTGCTCACTGTCACACAAGCATCAAATCCTCAACAATTCCTTTAAAGTTTTGTTGCTTCAATTGGATGTTTGTCCTTAAAGTTACTTTAGATGACAAACGATGATAAATAACACAAGAACTCAGTATGGACAGTCTGATTTGATGTTGCATCCAGTATCATTCAAAGCTGGTTTGTATCCACTTACCGCTCCTCCATGTGTTGACTGCTCAGTAAGGGAACCCATCAGTGCAACTTGTTCAATCATACCACATTTACACCCAAAGCAGCTTGACAGGTCCATGATACAGTATGCCCCATACTGGGGCACCAGATTTAGTCTTGTGTGAGCGGCATGCTAATGTCTTAGCTGACAGCTCTGACTGCTCATCAGGGCTCAGCTTTTTCTTTCTTTGTAAGTACCGGCTTTCATCACTCTGACACCAGCTGATGGGATGTTTTTCGACCACTTGTGTGTGCCAGTAGCTGTTGTTACACGGGTTAGTGATGTTAAGACAGAATGCAAGATAGTATGAAATACATTTTGTATGTGGCATTGCCATAGCTTGTATGTGCAACCAAAATATGTATTGCATATATTGTATATGCAAAACATATACATATTTTGAAAAATAAAAAAGAATCTAAATACAAAGTAAGCAAATGCAGTGTGTATCAATTATAACCTTAAGTTTTGTTTTGCTTATATTTGGAACATGTTTCAGGTCTTAATGGTGAATGTTGCAAATCAATCGTAGTATCTACGATACATGTAACAACACATGTTACAGCTTTTATGACAAGACACTATTATATGCAGATCAACAAAGCAAGATGTCTTCTTTAAAAACAGTAATAACATTTTTGAGATTTGTTTTTGTTTTTCAGGTTTATCACAAAAAAATTGGTAAAATGTGTGAAATACTTATGAATAAATAAATTAAAAAAAATTTTGTTGTTGCCATGTTTAAATATGTGCCCTGTGAGGCATTGTGCATCCTATAGGAAAACAAATCATGATCATGATCATTTCAAGCAAATCCTTGTGTTTTAAAACAAATTACACACCAGAAATGAAACAGCATGTCTTCATCTGACTATTTTTGGGGCTGCAATGTACACATATGCGTTCTTATGCAATATCTTTTAACCTTTTGCTATGCAACTGAAATAGCCGTGCCCAGGCACTACACAACACGACAGAACACAGCAGGCGTCCTGCTGACACCACAGCGGTACACAGATCAGATACTCTGGACGAGCATCGGCGCCAATACTTATGTCATGAAGTGGATCGTGTCCCACACAGATCTAACTAAAACACAATACGTAGTATTTCTTAGTAACTGATGGAATATCACTGTAATTGCATAAAAAACAATACCGTTACAATTGAGTTGATCCCACCTGTGATGTGTGTTACAGCCTGATGTTAGCGTACACACTGAAGAATGATACCAATGATAATGTTAGCAAGGTTTACAGATTTTAAAGTGAAAAAGACGAAGAGAAATGGTATCAGTTTCAGTCAGTACGATATGAGCATCGCCCCTTATATAATTTCTTTCCCTCTCACTCTGTTCCAGGTGCCAATGAAGTTTCCCCCTCACAGAAGCCTCGCAGCAGAGGCCTTTTCCACAGTCTCTTCTGCTGTCTGTGTCGCAGAGAAACAGAGCCACCTCCAGTAAAAAACAATGCCCCCTTATTGGTAGAAGAAAATGGGACTCTGTCAAAAGTAAGTTCATTTCTCAACATCCCTCTCTAATCCTTGTGATCCCTGCTTTCTCTCACCCTCCTCTCCATCGTCTTTTGAGCAGCATGTGGTCCGTGTGATTGACAGCTGTGTGATGTGTGAAACACATGTTTTCTTGGCTCAAAGCTATTCATGTTTACTCGTCTTTCCTTTGCTAAGAGGTAACGTACGGCTGTATTGCAGAGGACTCAGTGTTCAGACATCAATCAAGATGACTAGGAGTTACAAGAAGTGTAGAAATGGTGTAAATGCTACAGAAGCGTGACTCTGACCAGATCAGTCCAAAAACAGCTGCTGCCACAAATAAGGCACATAGTTGGTGCAGTGGAGACTCCCTTTGGCTTACAGCAGAAAACCATAATGCAGATCTGGCATCAGGAGTGATTAAAGTAATTATAGAAGCTGATAACTGATCGATTATTAGTTAATTTATCATTTAATAAGTAGAGAATTTCTGTGTGGAGGATGTTTGAATATGAATAAATGTGAATGGTTAAGATGTTTACATATGCTAAGATCGTGGTTGATACACCAATGACTGACTGCTAATCCTTTACATGTAATTTTTTGGACAATTGACAATACCTGCTATGGTATGAGTGTATTCTTGGAAAACAACTTGGCGTTTGGCAGTTAAGGTCTGGAGATCAAGTGGTCAAGATGTTCTCAGGTGTCAGTTTCAGATTTATGCCTTAGTTCAGCCTTTTATAGAGATTTGATATTCCAGAAGTTATTTGTCACGTCTTTCCAAGCCCCCAAAATAAATTGCTTGGTCTCTGGCAAAGGGGGGTCGAGTCAAGTGCTAGTCTCAGTTTTGGTTGTGACAACCTGTCATGTCATCGTGCATGCTGCTCCTGTTGCTGTTACTCTCAGGCTGGCTGTGGTCTCAGTGACTCCCCCCACCAGTCGTTTGCATATCCACTCTGAATGGACCCTTCAGTGTGCTGCCACTTGTTTGGACTTGGACTCTGCAGGTTCCTGAGCGCCAACAAGATCCTGACCTAATGCATGGAGTGTAAACTTTGAACAAACATAGTCCAGACTGAGAGATAATTTCACAATGTATTTGGAAAACTCTGAGCCAGCTAAAGTCTCTGGAGAAGGAGAACCAGCTGAAGCCATGCTTGCAGAACAAGCTGCAGATTTAACCAACCCTTCAAAGGGAAGTGCTGGACTTGGCTTAAAGGTCCTCGTGGAATACACTGAGCAAACTGTCAGCAGAGAAATGGACTCTTCTTTCCTATGCATGGAGCACTGCAACATGAATAGAGATGAGACTGAATGTACATATTGCAATGGACATGCTGATAGCTTTGAGCAATATTCAGCAAGTGAAGGATTTTTTGAATCCGACCAGACCCTCGATAAATGTGACACTTCGGGGTTAAGCCAACCATTTGACGAATGTGTTCAACACTGTGAGTGTTTTAAACCTTGCAAGTCCTCTGAGCTTAGTGCTAATCATAGCTTAGCTTCCAAATGTTGTCCTTGCTGTGTAGAACACCTCCACTTATTTCAACAATGTAAGCCCTCTGGTCAGCAGTTTGAGTCTTTTGACTTTGAGCCAGATAAATTGTCAATGAACTGTGGCAGTTTTGGATTGTGTGAAATGTCTGATTTCATACCAGAAAGCACAGACCAGCTCGAGTTGTACGAGCCCTCTGATCAGCAGAGTGACTCTGAAGCAGACACATCAACAGAGGACTCTGAACAATGTGAAACGACTGGTTTCTCACCTAATATCACTGACTTAGTGGACTTACTGGACTGTGACACTGGACTTTGTGAGTATGACGAAATTCAGAAACAAACTGAGTGCACAAATGATGATGATGATGATGATGATGATGATGATGAAGAGAGCTATTCTTCTGAACAAAATGAAACAGAGGCCAGTGATGAAGAGTCTTGCAGACCTTCAGAAGATGTAAATTCCTCACATTTCAACACACCCGTTCACTTTGATGACAGCGAACATGTTAGCTTTACCAGTGAATACTGTGAGAGATACCTGGACACTGAAGAACACCCTCAGACAGCTACTGCATTAGACATGTCCACAGATCACTGTGAGATTTGTGGAAATGATGACGTTGAAACGAGCGAAGAGTATGAGACAAATCAACAATGTGAAACCTCCGACAAAACCTCTGACTGCTCAGAGTTTTGCACTGAAGAAGATGGCGCCTCAGATTGCTCCTCTATTGAAACCAAGTCCTTTAAGACTTGTCCTGATGGCAGTATCCCCTCAGATCTCTGCTCTGACTCGTCCGGGGAATCTGAAAAGGAAGCTCAGGAAGATTCAAGTGATGAGCAGACGCAGTGGGAATCTTTTGAAGAAGATGAAGAAATCGAACAAAGCCATCCTGACGAAAGCGATGAGGATAAAAAGAAAACGCCCACTGTTGATATTGTCATTGAGGATTACTTTGATTTATTTGACAGAGCTGACTGTTACGGACACGCGTTTGCACAAAAGCAACGTTACATCTCCTGCTTTGATGGCGGAGATATACACGAGTGCCTGTATCTTGAAGAAGCACAGAAACATAGAGCCAAAAATATCTGTACATTTGAAGAAATCAATAAGGGAATTGATGTACAGGAAGCCGATGTATGTTTTGATGTATGTCCTGAAGAAGCATGTGAAGAGGTAGCAGACGCAACCACCGGAGAGGATTGTGAGTCAGAGAAAAAACCTGAAGACTGGATCATAGATTCAGAATCAGGTTTGGCAGAAGTTGAAGACGACGAGTGTGAAGCCCATGCACTTTATGCAGAGGATTACGAAGAAGCAGAGGAAGATGAGGACACTTTTGATGGAGAAACTTGTACATCTGAAATCTGTAATGAAGAAGAAGCTGAGGTCTGCCGGCCTCCTGGTAAAGAGGAGAGAATGTGTGCACCATGTGCCGAGGACATCTCTGTTGAAGGTGATGCTTATGAAGACGAGATCTACAATGCCCAGAGTCATCAATCTCTTAGTGACGGTACCTCTACAACTGATCACATACAGACAACTGTTATTGATCACAAAAAGGATGAGCCTGAAGATAAAGAATTTATTGAATGTTCAGAAATGGAGCCATATTGGTCACTCGTAGATAATGAAGATAATGGAGAGGCGTGTGAACCAGGTGTTGAGGATTACCATGCGTATCAGATTAAAAGCGTTCAGTCATCTATTAAACAAGCCCTGAAAGGACTTGAAAGAATATCGTACGATCGGACAATCAATGGAAAAGTTAGTGGGGATGCTTCTAGTGAAGAGACTGAGTCACAGGCCCCTGGAGTTTGCTCAGTGGAGAGCAAATCAGTCAGATTCGGGATTACTGAAGTTATTGAACTGAGTGAGACCTCAGCCAGCTGCTCTGCTGGGAACAATGAACAAACTCCAGAACCAGATGATGACTCTGAGTTAAATGAAATAAGACCTCCTCTAGATATTATTCACAGCGTTCTCTCAGAACACACCAAAATCAAGGGACCGGATGCACAGACTGAGGGAAACGGCGACTCTGAACAAAGCAGGGATTCAGAAGAGGAGCAGAGTGACGATGAATCCTCTTGGACTTGTGAATGCGAGTACTGCATTCCACCGATAGAGCAGGTATTATAAGTTGTCGCACCTTAACTGTTAAGGTCTGAATGAGATTGATTTTGAGTTTTCAGAAGTTTGGCTGAAACTTTAAATTATCCCAGAATCGAGGTAAATCTGCTCCCAGTGCTGCTGTTCTATTTTTATATCATTAAGACTGTACTGTCAACTATGGCAGGGAATAAGTTACAGGACGTTTTAACTTGGCAGATTGTGTGGTATCTGTGTCAAACTCTCAGCTCTGCCATTATCATCACGTGGCAGCTCACTCTACACGAACCAACACATGCGCTAGTGTTACAGGCAGCCGCTACAGTCATGCCAGCGTGTTTTTAGAATCAGAATCACACTAACAAACACCTATCTCTGACCACTTGTTGAGGGATGAGACACGGTATGGTGATATTAACATGCTCCATCAACGTGGCAGCAGCTGTAGCATCCCAGGTTTCCTGTAACCCCTCACTGAAACACCATAACACAATCCAGTCTCTTACATGACAAGAAACACAACACAGAAAAACACAATTATCAGTATGTCCTGCACAACATCTCGAGATGGTAATTTCTTATGTTTAAAGGAACTGTAAGCTGTAGCTGCTGCTCATATTGTGGATTTGAAAGCTAAAAGAGCTTTTTGATTAGGGGCAACATTTGCCATACATGAGCTTTAGGTCTTAAACTGTCTGCTTGTCTTCAGGTTCCTGCAAAACCATTGCTCCCACGGATGAAATCGAATGACGCAGGGAAGATCTGTGTGGTCATTGATTTGGATGAAACATTAGTGCATAGTTCATTTAAGGTAAGTTGGCCTGTGTGACCTAATTTCTTATAGTTATGTACAGTATATACTGTATAACTTTACTGTGTGAAGACATCATTACATATGCTTATATTCCTAATCAAACATGTTTTGATAATAATTTAAGGGTCAGTTTCTCTAAAATGAAAAGAAATAAGTCCTTTTCCTCTCACTGTGTGTGCTACCCATTCAGATACTGTAAAGCCACTATGTGTAGAGTATTTATGTGATCATAGTGCAAGTCAGATTATTCTGATTGGATTGTATTTGTATTGGTGAAAATATTTGTTTATATGTGTGCAGTGTTTGAGTGGCAGGTCTTTATGCAATGTTGTCTCCCACAATTACATTGCAAGGTTTTCCTATAAACCATTTATAAAGGTATAAATCTTTTTCTTTCACGTCATAAATACAGATAATTATTGTAAGTATGACCATTTCTCTTGAGCTGGAAGAGCTGTGATGTAGACATTGTTCATTGCCACAGTGCCAGTGCCAGTTGCGTGTGGTTTCCACTCTATTTCAACTTGGCAAACAAAACGACACATGTCGTTTATTTCTTGGCCAGGAGCAGTAACTTCCTGGAGTCGTGTAGTCACCATCAGGCTACCAGACAAATAGCGGAGACTCCAGGAGGTTACTACACCCAACCAAGAAATAATCCAGCACATGATAAGACACAACATGTTGTCTTTATTCTGTGGTTTTTGAACAGAGGTATAACATGGTAGAGGTGCTGGTAGATCGATTTTGTAACGTCAGAGTAAGACTGTTTCCCCTAGTTTTGAGCTAACCAGCTGCTTGCTCTAGCTTGATATTTACCAAACATGACCTGAGAATGGTATCAATCTTGGCCAAAAAAGAGAATAGCTGTATTTTCCAGAATGTTTAACTGTTTACAGTAGAGAAACATGTCTGTCATCACTGAAATATAACAGAGCTCAGTGAGATTTGGTTTGTATTAAGAGCCGGTTATAAACAGTTGTTCACTTTGCCTTGCCTTCATTGTAAACACAAGCAAATATCTTTCATCCATAATTATTTTTCACACTAAGATGTTCATGGACTCATTTGAGTAAAAAGCAGTTCTCATTAAAACTGTATCTGTCAAAGACTGAGAATTATGACGTCATCATGTCTGAAGGAGTCTGGCAGTTTGAATGCGTCCAAAAGCCTTTCAGCTCACGTGTATTGAGGTGACAGTAAACTTCATCTGAATGTATATATAGTGTAGCATGCGGGGTACTTCCAATTTTGCCTATGTATAGATTATACACTCACAAAAAAAAATCTAGACTGCTAATATTTAATATTTTTTTATTTATTTATTAAGTTATATTTGAATCTTAAAAAATAACTAACTTCTGTCCAAAAAAGTTTCCTTATTTGCTTGTTTCATTTCAGCTAAATGATTTTTATAGCCTTTTTTATACTCTTGACTTTTAAATTCCTAAAAGGCCGTTTTTTGCAAGTAATTAAAAAGGACTCTCTCGCTGAGTATCTGCCATTAGGCTTCCATAATCACTGTCAAAGCAAACAATGTACTTGCCAAGCAAAAGTAGGCAAAATAGCAGTAGGATATGCACTATATCATGTTGCATATTTTTAGGAGCACTTATTTTTATCTTAAAGGACTGGGCTCATATGCCACTTATACATTAACTATTTATTTCATTGGCTCTCTGGTTTCCCGATACAGATCCCACCTGCATTGTGCATCCTGAAAACCACGTGAGATCTCAAAAAAGCATCTGATTTCCAATTTAAAAAAAAAAAAAAAATCATATTTTCAGGAATTAAAACTAACAACACAAAATTAGTCATATTAAGCAGTATTTCCTTTCAAAAATAGCCTGTGAATACGATGCTAACTTCAGTTATTTACTTATAAATATTGTGCCCTCCATATAAGAAAAATTACATGATGAATAATAAATAATTAAAATACACACCTTTTTAAATAGAATATCTGCACAACATAACTCATAACAGTTTGTATCCATCAGCGTTAATGCTTTCAGAAGCTGAGTTTCTCTTTGTTCCTAGAAATAACTGGCTTCCTTTTGTTTCGTTTGATACCTTTTATGGTAGCATTCAGTGAACAAAGTAATCAATGCCAAAAGTTGAGTCTCCTGTGTCACGACAAATTATGTAATGAATGCCATGTGGTGTTTAGTCCTTCTCAGGTCACAGACTGTCCTAAAGGATGTCACTGGATATTGCTGTGAGCTATGTGTAAACAGGGTCAGACTTTGTGAACTCCATGTTTAACACAAGGTGGATAATAAAACTCATTATTACTTTGACACATATACTAAAAATAGCATTAGGTAACACAGAGGTGGTTGCATGTGGAAGGCAAAGGAAAGCCAGTGTGCTGCGTGACTCATTTTTTAAGGTGTTCAAACAGAAAATGTTTAATATTATGTGAAAACAGTCAGATATCAATTGATCATACTCAAGTCATCTAATTCAAAAATTGTATTCAAACTGTATCCAACCACACTGTCAGACAAGCAACAACAAGTTTAAAATAGTAACTAAAACGTAGCCTATTAAGACTATATGTTAACTTCCAAGCCATTTCCAAGCTGCTGCAGATTTTATAACCACAATGTCGTTGACAAAATCACCACCAAACACATGCATTAAAGACTGTGCCATGATTTCTGCTATATTTACTTGTAAAATGATCACTCTGAGATAAAGTTAGAAGAGACTGAAAATCTTTCTTTTTTAGTCTCTCACACACGGCACAGAGCAGACACAGAGAGAAAGCGTTACTGCCATCTCCTTGCTATGGAAAGTAGCCAAGGTTTGTCCAAAAAGTCACAAGATTTGTCACTAGGTGCCTTTTTGGAAAAAAAAAAAGTCAATAAATCTAGTGACAAATGCACTAAGATGGCAAGACTGCAGGCTATAAATGCCCCCTAACAGAAACTGTTTATGCCAATTCGGTTTGAAAGAGCTGTGGCCGATGGGCAAACTCCAACTCAGTCACATGGCATTCGGCCGAACAATGGTGGAACTATGATCACTCACTTAGTCAGTTAGGGACATTATAGTCCAGTTGCAATGAGAATAATCATCTTTATTAGGATAAATATTTAAAAGTTGAGAATAACTTATTATTAACAAATTAAACATTTCAAACCTTTGGTCTGATACATGTCATATAAAACCAGTGATATATGTAAGTGGGGTGGAAGTGGGTCAGTGTGTTGTGGAGGTTGTTCAGCCCATTAGCTCACACACTGAGCTGCACTGACTGCTCAATGTAAAATAATGGAAAGATAATTATGAATGTTTACTTACACTTTATGTTTATGATTGATGTTAAACTTGGTCTGTCTCCCTTCCCTTACCTCATAGTTTACCCGTTTAGTCTGTGGTGTAATGCCTTATATAGGACAGGCTTGGGGTGATACTAACATTTGAGAAGCATATTTAAGGTGTGAGAACTACTGAAATAAATCAGGTGTTTTTACGAGCCTTGTCACCTTCTGTAGCGTCTGTATTTCAATGATGGAAGTGACGAGAGTCATATTATGAACAGTGTGGCGTCTGAGGTACCGTCTGCGTGTCTATTTGACACATATGCAACTGATTTACTGCCGTCACTCTCATCTCTAGAAAATGTTGATTTTACTTGAAGATAATCTGGAGATGTTGCTGTTTTTTGTGATTAACAATCTGCTTTTGTTTTCAACAGCCAGTGAACAATGCTGATTTTATCATTCCAGTGGAAATTGATGGAACAGTTCACCAGGTACAGACTTTATGTACTTAACTGACTCTTAGCTTTACTGTCTTCCTGTGCTGCCCCAATCACGTCACTGGAGTATTAAAGCATATAGCACCAGTTATGGAAGTTATAGGCTTGCTAGGCTTCCTGCTAAAAGCTCCAAAGATTGTTTAGAAATTTGTGCAAACAGGAATGATAACAGGGCACTATTTTATAAGTACTGACTGTTATTACACTATAGACACCACATATCAGTAACCAAAAAATTGCCCTTTCTGACCTGAAAAATAGGCTGCTTCATAAGCTCTCAGGATTAAAATTTGAAAATCTGACATGGACGAGCCTTGACAGTGCTGTAGCCGTCTCTCTTGATGGCTCCAAGCAGCAGGTGGCTATTTCAGGGGCCTGACGAAATGAGGAAGCCCTGGCAGGCTTCTCAGAAATCACTGGCCATCAATCTCAGTCCGTGGCGCATGTTATGCCCTGCTCATTGGTGCTGGGGGGATGGCAGTGACTTTTTCCCTGCAGGCTGTAAATGGTAACTACAGTTTGTTGTGCCGGGCCTCCCAGAAGACAGAGGAGCTTTGATGTCCAAAGGGCCTGGGTCTGTTTCAAGTAATCCAGGATAGGCTTGTTAAAGTGGGGAAAGCCTATTCGGGATGACTTGGTTCAGAAACAAGGCTGCCAGCATCTTAGTGGAAGTAGATGAAAAGTCTTACATGTGTGTTTCAATTTGAATATTACAACTTTGTCTAATCTTTGTATCTAATTAATGGCATTATAGCAATATAGTTATTGACAGACAATACATTTGTTTCATGTGTTACAACAGCTGTGGATTTCATACTCCTATGTCTTTTGTGTCTTCACCCAGGTGTATGTGTTAAAGAGACCCCATGTTGATGAATTCCTCAAGAGGATGGGAGAATTGTTTGAGTGTGTTCTGTTCACTGCAAGCTTAGCCAAGGTGTGTCCGCTGTTCTGAATCTATGCCACTTTTTATTAAAGTTTGACTGCAAACTGAAGGATGGATAGTACATCACAGATGAAGACTGTTGTAATCTAATCTACTCACCTGTTGTTTCATTAACATTATGTTTAGAATTACTGGAAGCCCAGTCTCATTTTTGCATGTGATTTATAGGGGACCTTCCACATACGCCCTCGCACATAAAGATATATTTATGATACCTGTCAGGCAATAGCACAGACATTTTAACCTCTAACATTTACTTCAAACCGTGTTAACCTTAGCCTTACCTTAACTTTCTGAAGCATATGGTCAGTCATTACTCACCGACTCACACACACACACACACACACACACACACACACACACACACACACACACACACACTCTCTGCCTGATAACGTATTAGTTGCCACGTTTGTCTGCAGTGCTTGACAGTATCATGGGTACATTGGAGATATAGTGTCAGAAATAAAATGCTGCTCTTCTGCCTGGCATGTTTGAAAATGTCCATATTTGAATGCTGCAGACACATATCTTTGAAATTTGATGCAGGTTGGCTGTTGGTCTCTGTGGGCCATAATATTCAAGTTTAAAGGGCTTATTTTAAAAATAAAACATTTAAAAGTTATGGTCCTTATGAGATAGTGTATGTTTTTTATGTTTAGATAAGTATAAAAGTGTTACGTTTTTATCTTATGTGGTTATTTGGCTCCTTAAATCATAGATATTCATCATTAACAAACTAATGGACAATATGCACAACTAGGTCATAGTTTTGCATATCGACAGAGAGGCTTTACTCCTCTGCTTACCCACCAAAGTTATTTTCATAAGTTGAGAGTTGTCAACTGTTTTCAGTGAAACAACAAGGAAAACTCACTACCTACTCACCCACCCACCTACCTACTTACTCAGGAGTTAGCGGAGACCAGCACAGAGCCAAAAGAGGGTCAATACTGGAGTTACCTTCATCAGATGATGAAGACACAAACATCACTACAAATGCTGCTTTGTGTCTGCCGGTCTGCTGGTGTAAATATGCAGCTGTTTGCTTATAAACTCACAATTTCAGCTTGCAGCTTGTACGTACCTGTCAATGATGTGTTTACAACTTGTTTCTATTGCCCTCAAGTGGCCAAAAAAAACAGTTGATGCAATTTTATCTCTAATCCAAAAATCTATGACGAAAGCTATGAAGTTTAGAAGCCTGTTTGTTTAGTTGCTTCTAAGTGAAAAGTATTTGTCTCTCATAAGTCATGTACAACATCATTTAAATTAACATATAAACCTCACTTTTTTCTCTACTATAGTACGCAGATCCTGTGTCTGACCTGTTGGACAAATGGGGGGCCTTCCGGAGCCGTCTCTTCCGGGAGTCCTGTGTCTTCCACAAAGGGAACTACGTAAAAGACCTTAGCCGTTTGGGAAGAGACCTCAACAAGGTCATCATCATCGACAACTCCCCAGCGTCCTACATCTTCCATCCCGACAACGCAGTAAGCCATTCATATTTCTTTCTCTGAATACACTGGGATACAGTATGTATGTGATTAAAGCACATGTAATAGTTGTCTGTTATTCACTGAAATCTAAAATATTGCTCCTCTGTTTTATAGAACAATATTGAAATAATGTTAAATAGTATTAAGTTCTACGGAGCACTGAAAAGCTTGTCTAATTCCACCATATCCTGCTTTTTCAAACCTGCAGGTTCCTGTAGCATCCTGGTTTGACGACATGTCAGACACTGAGCTCCTCGATCTTATCCCCTTCTTTGAGAGACTAAGCAAAGTGGATGACATCTATGATATTCTCAAGCAGCAGAGGACTTCAAGTTAACAGAGGCAGGGCACTAGGATTAAAATAATCACCAGTGGCTGTTGTCACGGGGCCACGGAGGCTGGTGGGCCACAGGCTGCACACTGCTTCCCACTACAAGGACCATACTGCAAAAAAAAAAAAAAACCTTTAATTTAATCTCATATTCTCATAGTATATTACATAAAAAGTAAAAATTAATCATCAATCAATAAATCAATCAATCTTGTAGCTGGGTTTGGTGCTTCAGCATTGACAGTTATTTAATCCCAGTGTCAGATTTTCTTTTTAGTAATTCTACATACAGATTTATTAATATGAGATTAAATGACCTCTGTAGATATCTTTTTCAGTACAGCTAGTGTTGTTGTCGTTGACAGCAGTGACCTATGTAAGTGTGCTGTAAACCTAGACTGTGTGAACAAATGTTCAGTGCCATTCTACGAATGAACCACATCAATCATTTTTATGTCAGTGCGATGTAGCATTTGGATCAGTATTTGAAGTTCTCACACACAATATAACAAGTCATTGAAAATGGTCCTTTGAATCTAATTAAGCTCGTTGTGTTTGTTTATTTTTCCTTTTTGTTTTTTGGCAGAATGTGTATGTAGGAAAAGTCAATCATTAACTCTGGAAAACTGTTTAATAATTTTGTGACACATTTCACTACAAATTGCACATTTTAACATGCTTCAAACAATGTCCACTTACTGTTTGTGGTCCAGGAATATACTCTATGGTTTAGCTTTAGCATGTAGAAAAGAAACGACATCCAGTAGTCCCTGCCATTGATTGTAGTCCTCATTCACCACATTACGATAAATGATAAGGTTAATCATTATATTCTAATATTAATACAATCTAATTATGCATAATAACCCTTTTAGGTTCAGCACAACATAAGACTTCTACTATAAAAGTCAGGATTTAGTGGACAGTTAAAGATGAACTAATAGACTGACTGATAGGACCTTTCATACACAGATGTACCACTCCAGAAATGGTGACATTATTTTTGTACATACAATCATTTTGATTAGATTTTTAATGTTATTTTATCTAATGTTATTTTATCTTTTGAGTTTTAGTTGAATTGCCCACCACAGTGTGTGGCTCATCAGTAATGCAATACTGTTTATGTGTGCAGGAGGAGGTTGTGACCTGCTATGGCGTCTCAGATAAGTTTGTCCTTTTATTTTGAAAGCACACTTTGATGTCTCCTGTCGGTAAACTTGAATTTGAGCTTTTTTTGTGTCAGACAATAATGGAGTCAAGTGTCCTGCCTTATCGATCTGTAGATTCAGTTTCATAGGGGAAACTTGTGCCAGAAATGTTGTAGCCCTGATTTACTTTGCCTCGGTCTGGAGCGAGTGTGTATGTTCGTATGTGTGTGTGTGTGCGTGTGCGGCTTTCAGTGTGATTGCATCAGTGTGAGTATTTACATTAGTTTGAGATTTTAAAGAAAATGCTTTGACAATACGTGAAAAACATAACCTGTCTTGGAATAACGATTTACTTTTTTTTTTTTTTTTTTTTTTTTTTTTTTTTACTGTATGCAACCAGAGTATTAACATTTTGACTCAAGTAAAGAAACTGGTCAAGTGAGTTTTTAAATTGCTGCTGATAAATTGTATAGATTGAAAAAAAAAAGACAACTAGATATATTTCTACCTTGCATCAATAAAGCATGTTTTATTGAAACAGGTCATATTTCACTACAGTACTTTTTTCCCCACCTACCTAACGCTCAACACAACATGGCAGAGGTGGAAACAAGTCAAATGGAAAAATGGAATATGGAACAGATCTCATATGAAAACAACTATCAATCTCCAATAAGTTTCCAATGTTCACTCAACAAGCATTTCAACAAATCAAGCATCAATCAAGGTGATCAAGTAATTTTTGTAACCTATTTCTTTCCTAAATTACCTGATTTTTGGCCCAATATATTTACATGACAAGCCACTTCCTGCAAGGCAGATTTTTTTTTTTCCCTTTAAACTTTTCATCAAAACATACAAAATTATTTCTATACAATAGACAAATGATGAAAATAGGCGTTAAATGTGAAATTGAATGAACTGTTACTCGGATGATTCATTCTAAAACCTAAATTTGATGATATGGATACAAGGGGGGAGTCAATTGGAACCAAATGTGTCTCCTATGTGGTAAATAACTGATGCTGGTGTTATTGCTCTCGAAGCCAAAACAAATCTGGGTCATTGTCACAGCAGCCACACAAAACCATGCTCTGATATATGGGAAAATACACTGAGTGTAAATCAAGTTATATTGTATAAAACATGGCAGAATTGCAAAGTTTGCATCTGGAGCAAACAAAGTCTGGAAAAAGACTTTATAATACCACACATGTATTATGGGTAAGTTACATTCAACCTATGTAGAACTCCTAACTGTATGAAGCTAACCATATGCTTGTAGTTCTTCCCACTACTGAAGCCCTTTGATTTTTACAATATTTAAATCAGGTATCTATTGGCACCAATACACATTCAGCTCCAACCTTCATAACACGGTTACAGTCAAAACACTTTCACACAGGACGTTATTTACAATCAAACTGCAATTTGTCTTAATGATAAAGGAGCTGCTTTGAAATATTTCTTCACACACTATAATAAAACTGCATGAAAATCCATCATAACCCTGTTTCAACCACTTATATAGACTGTATGTAAATATAACAATATCAATAATACAACTTGAAAGCATCAATGAAACAATCAATCCATGTCAATTAGGTGATGACAGATGGGAGATGTCATCAGGGATCACCTGTGAAATTTGAGCAGAGGAAAAATTAGACTGAGGACCAGAGAACGTCGATCACCAAGTCTGGCCTTATTCTGTGTGTCTGTGTCATCCTTTAAACAATAGCAAGTTTTTTTCTAAACATGTTTTAAATACTGTATGTTGCAAATCATAAGGACGGCTCCTTTAAAACAGCCCTTTTTGCTTTTACTAAGCCAATAGTTGCCAATTTTTGGCTTGTAACCCTTAAAGCAAATCAGTGCCTACTCGTGACCTCAGAGACTTTACGGTGCCTGAAATTCGAAGAAAAATAGGGCAAAAGTACAAAAAATAAAATTGTGTAACAGAGATTTTGCAAACGAAAAATCTAATAATTCCTGACCTGAAAGCAAATCAAAAAATTAAAACACCTCAATTTACATAAATCATCAGGGCCTTATTGTTGCTGAATATATTCAGAGCTAATCCATCTAATTTGCTGGTGCATTCGCAGCTGCAAGTAATTATACTGTCTGGTCTATGACTCGTGTCACTACCCATCTTGAGTTGCTGACCATTTTAATTAGTTTTAATTTCCTTAGCTTAGTTCTAGTTGTGCTTCCTACTGCCCTCAGTTTACTGACTTTATGACAGGCTTATCGCCTAAGCCAGATGATTGAACATAATACTCTTCCGTTTAAAGCCAGTATAATAAAGCTAAAAATAGTTTACTCTCCTGCACATTTAAATAGCTCAGGAAGGTTCTGCGAGTATGTGCTCTGTATTGCTTGACCTACATCCCTGCAGATAGAGTGGGATCATAAACACCTTATATTATTTACAGAATGCAGCCCTCTCTCTGAGCCAAAACATTTACTGTACTTATTGCTATGTGCTGCATGTGCAGCGCCAAGTCATGCAACGCACTTTAAAACACCACCTGGACAATTCAACATCAGCCTGAAGGTTTTATGGGTTTTTTTCTTGTTTATTTTTAGCTTCTCATGCAAACTTGCTTTTTACTTGTAAAGTTGAATAAAAACCACTATAAAAGGTAAAGCAAAATTTTTCTTCTGGTACTTGACAGTGCATTGTTCCACTTACTGTACATGTACTTGTGATATCTTTTTGCAGCCCTAAAGGAGCAAACTCAAGACTTTCTTCTTACTAACATCTAGTGGTTAATTTTTGAATTACACCTAAATACCACTGAGGGTAGTCAAGACTTCTCAAGCTTATATACCCTGAACTAGAGACCAGGAGAAAAAGTCAATTATAGGCTATGACTATGAAAATAGTACGTTATTATGAACTTTATATTTCACACATATTTCACATGAGTATCTCTTATATAAAAGGCTCATGGCTCCACAGATTGATATCTGCAGAGCAACACTGTGAAAAATGTGTGTGAAAACATTTTTATATATGATTGAGACGTGATTAATTCCTGTGGTCTCTTATGGATCTGAGATGACCCTGGGGTACTCTTGGGGTTTGGGATCCTTCTCTTTGGCTGTGTCCGGTATCACTCACTACTCCCTATATAGTCCATAGGGAGTTTGCCATTTTGTAGTGCTGTCCGAATGTTTAGTGAGAAATATTATGCCCTATATAGCGGACTCATAGTATCCCACAATGCATCGTGAAAAGTAGTGTACAACCGATGGTCACTAACCAAGTAATATATACCTTAATGCATTGCACTCTCGCTGAAAGAGAGATTAACAGTGCGGAAAAAAATGACCTGCGTCGTGTCCGAAAGGGTTTTTTCATTTTGCCAATGAGCTCACTATATAGTCTTCTATACTGAACTCCCTGGATAGTGAGTAGGGAGGAGTCAAAGAGTGAGTGATTTCTGACAAAACCTTTGTCTGCAGATAGCTGATACATCTGGATCACCTGTGGAGCCCAGTGTTTTCCAGGGTATACAAGTCCTGGCTGCCAGCTAACCATTCTCTGCAGGTACACCACATTTTGGGTTTGGCTATGTTGTCTAAGTTTAATCCATATGTTTGGTTCTGCACCTTACAACACCTGCACTCACATATACCTTGATCATGCAGAGCACACATACCACTGGCGTGGCTCCCTTTTGTTGTAGCCACTTGAGCCAGGTCATGACAAATCTTACATGTGCATAAATCTATACCATATCTATGACTTTAACTGACAAGGTAAAATAAAGTTGAACTGAAGGAACAGAAAATTGTAATAGAAATGCCTTTAAACAGCTTTTTCTGTCACTCACTCAGCACCTGAAGCTGGGCTCTGCTCTTTGTTTTCCCAGAGCTGAACTCCACCACTCCGTTCATGTCCGGGGAGGTTTGTCGGAGGGTCAGTCTGTGGACTGTGCCCATCTTCTCCAGGAGAACCTGAGGGCTTGGCTGTAAGGGCTCCCCGTTCAGACTCCACACAGGAGCTTTGAGGACAGGCACCGACACCTCACATTCGAAGCAGGCTTCATCGGGGGCCTTGACCTCCACGTCTTTCAGCTCTCTGACCATCAATAAAGACTGGGCTGAGACGGTGCACAGAGCACAGGGAAAACTGTTAGCATTTTTATATAAACAGGTTTCCAGTAAGGTTCCCTGAAACATATTAATCAGAGTTATGACAAAAAGTGTACTGGAGTATATCTGAGAGCTGAGGAAGAAACTTTTGACTTTTAAAGAGTTAGATATCAAACCCAGTTTTGAGAAATCTTACATCAGCTGGTGAAAAGTGTTTGTGTATGTTTTGGTCGTTAGATTTTTCTTGTCCTTGTCCTTTTCTTTCCCTTTTGTGCTCTGCTGTTTTCCCCTTCCTCATGTGTTTTTTGGTCCCCAGTTTGTTCCTTTTGTGTGTGTGTGTGTGTGTGTGTGTGTGTGTGTGTGTGTGTGTGTGTGTGTGTGTGTGTGTGTGTGTGTGTGTGTGTGTCAGCTGGGCATGGCTTCCCTGGTTCCTGCTCCCTCCAGTCTCCATACTCACCTGCTCAGTCGGCTACCTGTTTGCTTTTTCTGAACTTTTTGTAATCCTGTTGTTTTTGTGCTTCAGATTCATGCTCCTGCCTCACTCAGCTCCTGTCTTGTCTTGCCTGCTTGGATTTTGTTTGCCTGCTCAGCTGTGTGGATCCCTGTCTGTAAGTCTATCTCTGCCATTATCCTGCCGGACTGTCTACAGCCCCATGCCCTCAGCATCGTAAGCAGCTCCCATTCCACACCATAAACTAAAAGTGCAATAAAAGACTTTTTTATACCACTACTCTGTGTTCTGCCTTAGGGTTCAGATAATACCAAAACCTTACAGACACGCCTATTAAAAACAACCAAGTGATTTGATTTTCATTTTAAAATAGGCTATAAAAATTTAAATTGAAATACAAGGTGTTTTTGATGTTTCATTTTCATTTCGTATAGGAAAAAGCAAAGGGAAACAAAAAAAAGACACTTATTGTGAGACAAGTGATGCAGAGCTCTGCCTGTATGAGTTAGAAGATGAAGATCAAACCATTTATCAAATTTCACTCATCCCTTTTTGACTGTGAAAAAGAAACACGCTTTGTATTTCAATTTTTGTATTTAAAAATGAATATCACACAATCAAATGGCCAAAAAATACACGAAAATGTGGTAGATTCCCCGTTAACTTGTTCAGTTAACCTAATTTGCCTTTTGGATGAATAAAGTCTTATCTTAACCCCAAGGCTATTTTGCTGTTGTTTAATCTCTTTATTTATATTGAGGACAGTTTAGACAGAAATAGCATGATCTGGTTTGTGAATGGCATATTCTGAGCTACATTTTATTATGAAATGACACATTTAACAGCCAGGGTTGAAGATCTATATGAGATGAATTAATCAAAAACTCCCTTACCCTCCACTGTCAGTTTTGCAGAACATGTGTGCTCTCCAACCTGGACACTGTATGTGCCCTCATCATCTAGTGCCACCTGCTGGATGACCAGTTTGCGATAACAGCCTTCACTGCATATCTCGAAGCGCTCCGAGGGCAGGATGACATTGCAGCCTTTGTACCAGCGGATACTACATCTGGAGTTAGACACTGTGCAGTCTAGGATAACACGGGTCTTCTCAAGGGCGGTCTTATCCTGTAGAGGTTTTACAATGTTGACAGGAATCTCTGGAAAGGGAGAAATGCAGTTTAAAATCGAGGACATAGTTTGATGACAGAAGAAATCAAGCAGTTAAGTCACACAAATCAACACACTTTTTTACTATATTTGAAACTTTTTAACATGACCAGAAAATCAACATTGCCTGGCTTTAAGGGTTCGCATGAACCACAGACATTGTATTTAGTGTAAATCAAAAATCCTGTGAAAAAGATCACACTAAACTAGCTCACTGTGGTGCTTGGACTACAAGCAGTAATGCTCTATAATTTGGCCCTAATAAATCAATATATATATATATATATATAGTACAAACATGTATACATTACATACAAACATGTATACATACTTTAAAACATCTAACAGCATGTTTACATTATTATAATAGGCTACCTTCCACCTCCAGGTAAGCGGCAGATTCAACATGTCTGGCAACAAACTTGATCTCTCCAGAGTCCTCTGCTCGCACATTGCACATAAGAAGAAAATGTTTGGTCCCTGAAATAAGAACAAAATAGATGACAATGATAAATAATAAACCAGATACTAATTGGCTTAATTCTACTGGCTAAAGAATAAGCAATTCCACCCACTTTATTTTTTCATTTCTGTTTACAGGATATTATTTACATTAGCCTCTTTAGCTCCTGTCTTGTTACAGTATTAAAAAGCCTGACATCATCACAATGAATTGCATTATTTATGATTTTCAAGCTGACCTTCCTGGCGGATCTTGATGGTGCTGGTGGGTTGTATCCTCTCCCCATTTTTGTACCATTCTCCTGGCACATCCTCCACTGAGATCTCGCACACAAACACGGCATTCTGATCTTCCTGGATGTCCAGATCCTCAAGGCCCTGCAGGATCAATAGCTCACGCTCTGCAGAAAGAATTAACATTTAAAAAATATTTAAGATTTCAGCGGGGACCTCTCAACAATATCAAACTGCAAAAGTAAAAAGAGAGAGGGAAAAAACATTTAAGACAATTTCGAACCTTATTTTTGTCAGAACAGGAAGTCTTTGCTATGGTTTCCTATCCCCTTTTTAAAACATGGTAAATGTATAGAAATGTTGCATTTTCTACACTTTTAGTCTACAACTATGGCTATATTGTGGCCTAACTGATAAAGTTATACAATAAATATTAGACAATGTCCTCTGATGTCTGATGTCTGATGTCTGAATTATCCAGGTCATAGTTGTAGGTACCTGAAGACGTTTCACCTCTCACGTCCTCTGATGTTGTATACCCACTGTCATTATGTCTATACTGGAAATCCTCAGCAGACGGCAGTGTTGTGCTGTATTTGCAAGGCTGAAAGCCCGGTTCATAGACAGAATTATCTCCTACTGTAATACAAAGGGAACTAAATATATGAACTGCATTCACAATGTTTTTTTTTACCATAACAATAAAATTATATATACTGTATATATACCGTCATTGGTAAATATTGCTACCAGTCTAGGCCGTATAGCAATACCTAGGTAATAATAATCCTAATGTGCTTAAATGTGTCTACATCTAAAAAGTATTCAAATTAACTTGTATTGTACTTTAACCCTCTTTAGGATATGCATCATGACTTTAAAACACACCCACACAGGTGTTTTCCATTAAGTCTAATTAAGTCTAATTTGTCCCACCCAATCAGGTGTAACACAGCTAACAGGTGAGAGTGAGTGATGTCAATCAAGTTTAGTCTCTACCATGTGGCAACCTACAGAGCCACTCTTAGTGCTAAAAACTGCAGTTTCGCTTGAGGCTTACTCCAAAAACGAGTAAATCCCCACGGACTCACGTAATAATGTCCAACTTTACAACAGAAATGAACATGTTTACAGCCTGCCATAAAAAAAAAACGTGTTTGGTCTCTACAGCTTATTTCCTCCTTCATGGCAAGGGGGGTGTTTATAACTCACCCGTTCACAAACCGACATTCACCGAAGTCTCAGCTCCACACATGCCACCTCTTTGCTATTTTTTCGATTAGCTGGGAGTTGTGGGGAATCACTGCAAAGATTTTGACGGTAGAGCAATCGCTCCTTAGAAACCTACGGGTGACGTCACGGAGGCTAGAGCTACAGCCACAATCAGCCACAACTGATATCACCTGTGTGGGTGAGGAGTGGTGGTGTAGCAACCATGCTAGGCTAATTTTGGGATTCTGTTGGCTCTGCTCTCAAGCTAGCTTGGTGCGATAGCCTTATTGTATTTTAACTTTAATGATGCCTGAGTGGTGAAAGTTAATTGTTTGCTAACACTAGCTAGCTTAGTTAATATCCTAGCAAGGTCAATAAAGTCCTCAATATTGAAGAGAATCAGCAGCTAACAAGTGGCTAAGGGCAGCTAACATGAACAAAGGTTGCAGTGCTTATCTGGCATTGTGAATGTGTGGTAAGTCCTTTTTTTCTTTGTTTTTGTGTACATGTTTACAGTCCTCGCTAAATATTCTACCAATTATTTCCAAGTTAACTACACACACACATACACTGCAATGGACATGTTGACATTATGTGAATAATACTGTTTGACTTACTTTGGCAATGTTTAGTGTAACTCAGTTATACTCTGTGCCTTTCAAATTATGGTTGTAACAAATCCTAAGAGTGGTTTACCAAAGCCTAAAAGTATTTAATAACTATTTCATTTTTTTTCTTTGACATACTGCCTGTCATAGACATTTTTACAGCAGACTGATTGAAGTGCAGGTGGGACTAGTAACATTAACAGCTCTGTTCAAGTGACACATTGAGCTGTCATGCAGAATACACACAAAGATTGAATATGTTATTTTATTAATTGGGCTATACCTGTGTTTTTTCTGCTGTTAAAAAGGTGCTGCCGTCTGTACATAAGTTGACCTAGATGTTGCTGCACATTCAGTTCAGCTCTGGTAGAATGTAGTTATTTGAATGATTTTTTCCTTTAAAACAGCATCACAATATCGCACTGTCCACCCAGACTGTGTGGCACAAGGTGTGCAGTAGCTGTATCTCGAGTGAATTTGAGTTTTTCTCTGTTGTCGATTTCTCAGTTTGATGAGTTTATTAAAGGATTAAAGCAAAGGAAGTGTTAGTTTATCATTAAAGAAATGTGCATCTGAGTAGATACAACCTAGTGCTCATTCTAATTCTTGATCACTAGCCAGGTGCAGTGTTGATTAGCTTGAATAATTCTGTGCTGTGTCATTTGTATAAAAGAACCCATAGCTAATCATAGTACTGACTTTTTTTTCCATAAAAAATTACTTACAGTCAATGTAGAGAGAGACAAGAAACACCAGGGAGAGAGTTGTTGGGCTACCAGGGGACCTCATTTTAGACCGCTGATACAACTTAATTACTTTCAGTCATGTATACTTAGTTAATGCCAATACCGCTTTTCAGCCTTGGCTTAAGGTACTCTTTCAGTCAGTCCGTATTTGTATCACACCACTGTGAAACTAGTGGCACTTTGTGGAAATTCATCATCATATTACTGATTTCACAGTCGAGCCTGTTAGTAGTACTTTGACAGGAAAACATCTGGTTGGAAATGTTTACTGATACGTAAGAGCCAATAAAGCTTTGGCAGGTACATTTGTCTTGGCTTAGTCATGTCGACCTGGACAGATCGAATATGAGGAGGTTAATGTGGCATGACCACCGCTTCTTGGGTAACAACTGAGACAAGACTGTTCTGGAAAGAAGGGTCTATTAGACCAGTAAGCTATTAGGTTGTTTTGTTTGTGTATCTCTATGAAAGGGTGGTGTTGAATGTATAAGAGATGATTTCTGTATTAGAGTATATGTCATTTGCACATGTACTAAGTGTTGTATGTAACTGCAGCCTCCATGCATGGTAACAGAGCAGTAAAGGAGTATTTCTACAATCTCACTCTGCTTGTTATTTCCTTTTTCATAACAGAGGATGTCCCTGGCACCTTTTCTGTAATTTATAGTATTTAGACAGCAGACTTTACCGTAGACCTCCACAGTGCAGGATGTAATAGCATCTCCAGCATCGCAGGTATACATGCCAGAGTCACTGACATGACATTTCATGATCTGAAGAAACCGTTTTCTCCCCATTGCATAAATCCGCAAGTCCTTCCCTGGCTTCACCTCAACCCCATTCTGAAAAGGATGAAAAAAAAAAAAAGTATTTTAATTTTTCTCTAGTGCAATTAATCCAAACAACTCCAAGTGGATGTGATGCATTGTACACTTAAGTCAATTATAGTTCTTTATTGTTCCACATTGATCAACATAAAGTTGGCAGAAGACAACCCAGTAAAAGTTTGTTTTACTTTAGGCTTGAACTCAAAATTTGGTCTAGAATTTTATCTTTGGTGATTATGACTGCAATGCTGTGTCCACAAAGATTTTCGCTGTTTGGATGGTGTCTAAGTTTGTGATTGGGTAGTGTCCATCTTTGTTGTTTAGAATGAAAAAGAAAAATCCAACACTTGCCTTAATCCATTTTACATTGACATTGTGTCTCGACAGCTCACACTCAATAGAGATTACTGCTCCTTCAGAGAATTTCTGGTCCTCCAGTTTTCTGAAAATAGTCACTGGGGGCTCTGGTGGTGAGAAAGCATGCTTAGTTAAGAAACCAAAACCATATTTAAATTTCTCAATTGCATTGCTACACAAAATCAGTAGCTAAAGGATAGGGTTGCAGTTTTTAAAGTCTGTCTTCAAACAAAAGTCAGGTGGCAGTGTGAACAGTGAAACAGCTTTCATTTGTTGTAATCATTCCTTCCCTCCTAACATACTTTGAATGGAAGAGATTGGACGACAAAATCCACAGTCCTTGTTCCATGTTAAAATTAGGGTAGACCGATCTGGCCAAAAGCTCACATGACAATTTTTTTGGGTAGCATTGCAATCAACAATCCTAATTGTGACTATCTGCCTTTTAATGACATGATCTGCATGATATTTCTAAAAAAGTAGATCATATGTCAAAGTAAGATTGTCCATGATATAAGATCATCAGATGGCCCACCCTTAATTAAACTATATTCCAAGGTTTATGTGAAGTTAATATCAGGCTTCACAGAATTCCCCCATTTGTGTTACTATTCCTCCACTGCAGCTCATGAGGGAAACGGTGTGATGAAATGCAAAGAGGGAATGCTGTACTAAAAAGACCATAACCTGATTTGTCTTAGTTTTTTTTTCTTAAGATGAACCTGAACAAAAATGTGAACCTATCTTTTAAGTTAAGTTTTCATCTAATTGTCATCCTCAGCATTTCAGCCCCTAGCTCAAAGGGATGATGCACACTGAGTGACTGGGCATGGAGCGGATTATTTTACAGCATGAGGTTAAACTAGCACCTGACAGAAGAGACAGAACAGAGCTACCACTTTTCATTGGGTCATGCTAGGCTATTTTGTGTTTGCAACATGAGACCAGATAAAGACAACAGTAGCAGAGCCGTCACTCCATTCCATTATCATGCCTCCACTGGCTGGCATTTGGTCTAGTAGTCTGTGTGGACCACTTTAGCTACCAGTCTGAGGTCATAACAAAATTAGTACAGTAAAATTTTGTTTTGGTAGTACTGCAGTATACTGTACATAGTTTGTCAGCTGTGAACTAAAACGTGAAGATAATGAATTATTTGGAAGCATTAAGTTGTACCAGTATATTACTTAACAGAGCTTGTTAATTGGCCTTATAATAAGCAGAATTATCTTAAAATTACTTTTTTTTTTTTTTAACTTAATGACCTACCCTTCACAACAAGCCTTGCAGACGTCTTCAGATTCTCTACACTGAATGTAAAGGTGCCAGTGTCTTCTACTGATAGATTAGAGATGGTGAGGCTGTGAACTTGTCCTTTGGCACTCATACGGAAGTGGTTTGTCGGCTTAAGCTGGATTCCGTTTCTCATCCAAGTGCCTGGCACATTGGGATGTGAGAGCTCCACTTCAAAGGAGGCCGTTTCTCTCTCTGTGGTTTTAATGTCAGTCAATCCCCTCTTGATTGTGATTTTTCGAGCTGTAAAGGAAGATACAGTTAAGTTATCCAACAGCAGATTTTGAGGGTGTTACTTTTATGTTTGTAGTACAAGTACGTTTAGCCATCTACTTTTTGTGTGCTTTTTGTGTTAGTACTTTTCCATATTATGAATAAATGAAAATAAATCATAGTTAAACAAAGGTTATGTCTGAAAGATTGGCCCCAGTAAAATTCATTTGTATTCCACTTTAACACTGAGCACACATGGTGTCCATTTTCTGTTACAGAATAGGCTTGGAGTCTGTTCTGTGCACAGCAGTCTGCAGTTAAACAGTACAAGCTGGCACACACTGACCAGACGATATTTTAGTCATTTGAGTACTGGGCTTTATACAAAAGCCAGCTTTGAAACTGCCAACATTTTTCACTTATTCTAACGCAGACAAGCATTCCCTGTGGAAAAAAGGAGTGTTTATTTTGGAGACCTGATGACAACAACCTTAGTTTTGAAGGCCAGGGTGTAAATTTAGATGCAATGAGAGGAGATCCAAATTCATAGGAGGTGCCAACAGCAGCCCGAAGTCCTGACTTTCCCCTTCCCACCCACACTAGTGTTGAAAGCACAGCCTTTAATTCACCCACTGGCCTGTGGGTCATAGGACTAAGAAATATAAGACGCATGCACAAAGAAAAACAATCATAAGTACGTCTTAATCACTACAAGATGCTGGTTTTATAGTGTCTCAAGTTTGCAACTTACATGAAATTTAAGTGGTGCTTTTTGTTAGGAAATGTGTACTTTATTTACAAAATGTAATTGTAGTCCTTGAATAATAGTGTCATAACTTGTTATTTATCAAGCACTTCCTTTAAACTGTAATCTAGGTGATGAAATCCACTCAGGAATTTATTGATCTTTTGTCAATACAGAAACCCTGGTTTCAGTGTCAGCTTGGGCTGTAAGGCTATCACCTGTTGGGTGCCATCGTGTTCCAGTACAAGTGCAATCCTGGTCTTCCAGTCACTTGAATTACTCTCACTCAGTTAATTGAGCTTTGCTTCACAAGAAGCACTGATTGAGGGTGTGCAAGAGGTGCAGCTGCCGGCAACAGCAGTAAACAAACAAGAACAGAGCATAGTGAGAACACGTGCACACTCACGTTCCACTGTTAGCTGGGCTTGCGTGCGGTCATGGAGGGTTTCACAGCTGTAGGTGCCCCGGTCAGACACAGCCAGTTTGTGTATGGTGAGACTGTGTTTTCGGCCCTTGTTTTTCAGGGTATACTTAGCTTCGGGGTGGATCAGCACCCCTTGCCTCATCCACTGCACCTCTCCTGAATCCAGACTCACCTCCACCTCTAGAATTACCTCACTGTACTCTTCAGCAGAAACTGGTGCCATTTTCTTGGTGAACATCACCTGTTGCTCTGAAAATGAATATAGGGAATTTCTAGATAGCAGCATCTATCATGTCACCGCTTTATATACTTTTATATGATCAAATTGTATGTTTGTGTTCCTTGCATAAAAATACTCTGAAGCCACACCCAGACAGAGCGAAATGCAATACAGAGCAAAGAAATTCAGAAAAGTTATGATGCAAGTTCAGGCAAAGACACCAAGCAAAAAGCAATGAGGAGCCTTGCCCCCTGCAGTGTCACATATGCCAAAACCACTGAGCCACTTGTCTCTGTCAGTTACCAGAGGAATTCTAACAGGAGAAGCTGCTAAGCGCTAGCTGTCAAAGACGCCTTGAACAATTTCAAGTTGTCTGAAAGGGTCATTATTTATCATATATGCTTATGTGACACTAAAGGTACACATGCATTTAAACTTTCTTACTTTTATGTTTATGTTCACTTCAGTATTGCTGAAAATAGCTCATAGTTAAAAATAAGGCGATAACTACCAGAGAGATAAGAGGTTAGCTGAACTATTGTTAAATGTTGTAACTTCTATGATTCATCTAGACAAATATATAATTATAGTGTTAATGGATGGGGCAAGAACTCACCTTGAACCTGTAGTTCTGCTTCTGATACCAACCCCTCTGCATCAGCTGTCACTCTGCCACTATCTGAAACCGTGCAGTTGTGGATGCAGAGCATGTGGCATAGTCCATTGCTTGAAATGACAGTCCGCTCATTCAGAGCTACTTGCTTGCCATTTAAGTGCCACGCCAACTGAGTGTCCACTGGTGAAACCACACACTTAAATACTGCATCTTCTCCTTCACGGACTGTGATGTTACGAAGCTCTGCTATGAACTCAACAACACGGGGAGCTAAAGGCAAAATATCCAGCTGAATTAGATTTGAAGCTTTCAATGTTAAGATGGCACACTGACCATTTTAAACCATTTTCTAACACATTATTTGTAAGATTTAAATGCACTTACTTTCTACAGTGACCGTAGCTGAGGTCCTGTCATCTGTGGATTCACAGGCATATTCTCCAGCATCTTCTTCAGCTATTTGGTGGATGGTGAAGTTTCGCTCTCGTCCTTGTGCCCTTATTGTGTGTCGACGGCTTGGAGAGATCTCCTGGCCATCCTTTAGCCATTGTACATCTCCTTTGGGCTTGCTGATCTCGCATCGTAGTGTAAGGCTGCTGCCCTTCAAAGACACAGTATTCTCCAGTGGTTTGGTAAATTTCACCTTCATTTCTAATAAGAAGATTAAGAAATATTACACCAGAGAGATGTTAACTTTGTGATGATTAGGATCAAGTAAATGTTTACTGTGGAATAAAGGTCACATTTTGATTAGGAGTGCCAAATTCTTACCTTTAACTAAAAGACTGAAATACATCTCATCTGTGTTTACGTCACAAACATATTCTCCAGAATCTGACAGCTGCAGGGGATTAATGGTGAGCTTGTGGGTATTACCCTCACTCGAAATGTGAATGTTGTCCTCGTTCAATAGTTGGCCATCTTTCAGCCACCGGACATTAGCTCTTTCACGGCTCACAATGGCACACAGCGTGACACTCTCATTTTCATAGGCTGTGATGTTATTACTTGCTTTTTTATTCACAAACTTGGCCGCTGGCTCTGAGAAAAATGAGATTTGCAAAGGAGTTGCCTTTGAATTACAATTGCATACATGAAACATTTAGTTCATCAAACAAAAACATGTTTCACTTTAATCTTACCTTGCACCTCAACAATTGTTATTAATTTGTCATCGATGGCATCACAAATGTATTCTCCAGAGTCTGAGGGCTGAAGCCCAGAGAGAACGAGCTTTCTCACAACATCATGGCTGTCAATTTTTATACGTGTATCTGGTTTCAGTATCTCGCCATTCCATAACCACTGAACAGTGGCATTTGGCCGAGACACTTCACACTCCAAAATAAGGTCATCTCCTGCTACCAGAATATGATGCTCTGGGTGACCTGAGTTTCCAATGATCTGCACTGGAGGCTCTGAGCATAAACAACACAGTACCAGTTATCAGTTAGTGTCTTCAGTCCTTAGTCGAGGAAAGACGGATAACATTTGAATTGCTTAATAAGTTGATTACCTTTGACAGTGATGTAGAAGACCATCTTATCATCTCCTGCATCACAAGTGTACTCTCCAGAATCTTGGAGCCCAGCATTTAGGACAACCAGTGATCGGAAAACACCTTGCTCCTCACTACAGTATCGCTCCGTGTCATCAATAAGCTGATTATCTTTATACCAATTCACTGAAACACTGGATCTTGAGAGTTCACACACAAGAATAATGTCATCTGACACTAAGAACAGCTTTTCTGTTTTTGCGTTGGATTTTCCAAGAATTTTTACAGGCAACTCTGAAAATGAACAAGAAGAGAATTTCTATTTTTATAGAATTCATATTTTTTGCGTTCTATATTACACAGCCCCAAAGTTCCAAAAGATAATTAAAAAAAAAAAAAAAAAAAATCGTGCCCCAGAAACTATCCAGTTGCAAAGACGGAAGAATTATTTCAACTAATGTGATTTTTGCCTCTGATTGGCTTCTTTTATAATTGCAAGTGCCCCTGAGGCTGATGGATATTGTAATATTTTAGTGAAACAATACATGCATCATACCAATACTAGGGAGTAGGAAATAAATTCTGATATCAATATATCGGGCAATATGCCACATATAGAGTATAGTGTGTGTGTGTGTGTGTGGTGTGTGTGTGTGGTGTGTGTGTGTGTGTGTGTGTGTGTGTGTGTGTGTGTTGTTTATATATATTATTATATATATAAATAATATATATATATATATGTAACACTTGTGAAAAGGATATGTAATAAAAGCAGGAATTTTACAGTTTAACAATAAACTTTATTGTCCAAAATTACATCAGTGCAATGAAATGGTAATCTTCACTTGGAATTAAATAAAATAACTATAAATAAAAACATTAGAACAAATATGTATTTATGTTATATGTATATATTTAACAAAGGATCAAATGCACATAAAATGCTGCCTATATAACTTGACTTGACTTGAGCATTTCCTCTGCATTATTGCTTCTTAATAAAAGTATTCATGTCAGCGCCTTTTGGAGAATATATGTGCCAATACCAATATATCTGTGATAGGCCAAAATCGGCCGATAAAATTGGCTGACCGATATATTGGTCAGGCTCTACAATACATGATTTCTCTTAAAACTGGTTGCAATAACATAAACCTAACCTATGAAGTCGGATTGTTTTTCCCCATTCTTTATTCCCATTTCAGTTTTTTCTTTATCTGATATTGCTAATGGTACAAAAGTAGAGGACGCACATGGATAATTAAAAAACCCTGTAGTTTCATGTTATGACCACCAGATTTAATTATTTAAACTTTGTCTCTAAGAAATCATGTTTGGTCTAAATGCCTCAACTATGGGGCATTGCAATGAAGAAGAAGCAAGTAAGAGGTGCGAATCAATTTCAAAATTTATCTTTTGTGACTTTGAGGGCTTTATAGCATAGCCTTTCAAAAACTTATCTGGTTTTGGAGTAATACCTTGAAGTACAATAACCTACCTTGCACGTTCACATGGAAATCCATCACATCGTCTTTTGCATCACAGACATATTGCCCAGCATCCTCCACTGTTAGACAGTGAATGGTTAATTGACGCATAACACCGTCTTCAAGGACGGTGATATTTCTGGAGTCTTCTACTTCTTCCCCATTTTTCTTCCAGGTGACTTCGGCATTTGATCTTGAAACTTCACAGTCTAGAACCACAGTCTCCCCAGCCACTTTCTCTACTCTACTTGCAGTCTTCCTTGGGCGTAAGAAGCGAACAGGAGGCTCTGAGTATTCATAAGAATTTGTGTTAGAAATGGGTAAACACAGACACAGCAACCCATTAGTTGACCTATAGTCTCCCCATTCTTTAGTATTTCTTACCTGCTATGTTTACAAAGAACGTCATGGAATCGTCTGCTGTATCGCATACATATTCTGCTGAATCTTTGACAGTAGTTTCGGGTATAATGAGTCTTCTGTAGACACCATCCACCTCCAGAATAAGGTTGTCATTCTCCTCCACTTCGAGTCCATCTCGATACCAGCGCACCACTGCATTGGGCCGTGAGATCTCACAGCTCAGTACCATCCTCTCAGAGGTTTGCTGGCACAGTTCCATTTGTGACTGGCTTGGGGATACAATTCGCACTGGAGGTTCTGGAAATGGACATTTTGACATAGCATATACAGTATAACACCTGCAGGAATGTCTTTAGATACATCTTTAATACTCGAGGAATCAATAAACCACTAACACTGACAATGTTAACGACATCGCTTCAGATTGTGATCAAACTCCGTCCCCCCACAACTTTCCAGTGTTAGAATTGGAGAGCTGCATTTGACAATATTTGTAACCTTCGGAAACTGACAATCCAACAAACATGCCCACTGTACATAGCAATTGGCCAGGTATGTGGTGGTAAGAAAGTAGAAGAATTTGAACTTTGAAGTCATAACTCAAGCTGTCTTTTTTCACTTTTCACATAACCATTACCTTTTTGAGTTTACAACTGAGTGCAGTTGCCTTTTTAAAAGGAGATTGTCCAAAAGTGTGTACCATTTGTACAATTAATGTTTTCCTTTAGACACATTGAGATGACGCTACGCACTAACCTGTTTGTTGGATCATACTGATCCCTTATGATCTACATAATGTGCTTTTTGCTGTTACGCTACTGAGACACATATATATATGTACGTATATAGTATTAGGGGTCTTACCTGTAATACTAAGGTGAAAGAATATTGAATCATCAGCTGTATCACAGACATATTCTCCGGAATCTTCGACTCCACTAGAAAGGATTTTCAGTCGTCGATAAGGACCCTCAATCTTGAGCTTGATGTTCTCGCTCTCTTGCAGCTTTTGGCCATCTTTGTACCAGCTGACAACACCATTGGGACGAGACAACTCACAGCTAAGAATAATTTCATCAGGGACGTGGCGGTCAAGGTGGACATCCTCTTTAGGGTAGACTATCATCACTGGAGGTTCTTTGGAGAAAGAAAATATGAAATTGAAATGTGATCTGAACATTCGTCTTCACAATCAAGGTAAATTTAAGTACATTTTTTGCACAGTTTTTATGAAATGTATTACCTCGTATTGTAACCTTGAAGATTAAAACGTTATCTCCTGCACGGCATGTGTATGTCCCTGTGTTGGACAGTTGGGCTGAATGTATAGTCAAATTTCTTTTGGTGTCCTCTGCTTGCATTGTAATGTTATTGCTTGCTTGCATTTCAGTTCCATCTTTGTACCACTGGACAACACCATCAGTCCTCGATACTTCGCATGACAGAACAAGCTGTTCTTTTTCGACAACACTCTTGAAAAGGTCCTCCTCCGGGATATCAGCAAATGTTACCGGTGGTGCTACACAAAACAGTACACAAAAGAAGTAAGTTGTTGCTTGAAAGTAGAATTTATGGTTTATGCGCATGCACTAAGTAGCTGTAAGGTCAGGTTTTCACAGCTTAGACATGCTGATCTCAAGCCTTGCTATATCTAGATGACAACTTCTCATAGACATCATAATCATCTATGGCTGTTAATCCACTTTTGAAACAAACTGAAAAAGTTAATTAAAGCAGTGCACTGATGTAATGCAACCATGGATGTGTTGGGGGGGGGGGGGGCAGCAAACTCATTAAAATACATGCCATTTCTTTATGTCTATATCTTAAATGTGAAGCATGTATATGGAAAAGCTATGATGAATATGATGATTGGCCTTGGCCTTGTTTTTAGATATTAGAGGTCATGAAGGTGTATAAAACTCTGCAGTGACATCTTGCCAAGAAAAAGCTAAGCATATCACCTTTCACCTCCACATAGATATCGCTGAAATCTGAATCATCATCATCATCAGTTTTACAACTGTACACCCCAGAGTATGAAGATGTGGCCGACTTCATGACCAGTGTCCTCTTATTGCCCTCTGAATCGATGTTTATTTCCGATTTTGGCAAGATTATTCCATCCTCATAGCAGCAGGTCTGGCTTGCCAGGTCTGAGATCTCACAATGAAGTTTGATCACGCTGCCTGCTTCAACAGACTTGTTCCTCTCAGCCTCTGGAACAGCTGAGAATCAAACCGGTGCTATAGGAATTTCAATTCATTGAACAGTAACCAGATAGTAATCAGATTTGCTATGCTATACTATGTAACGTACATGGATTTACAGGCTAAAGGCTGTAAAATCTGATATTTGGCTCCAGATTGAACAGATGGTTCAAGAGTTGTTTGGTTTGTGCCTACAGAGGTTGACAGTGAGATCACTCAGTTACTTTAACATTGCTAGTTAGTAGGCTCATATACAATCAGTGAGACAGTATCATGGAACATGAATCATTCTAATTTCAAATGACTGGTTTTAACTTTGTACAAGTTCGCTTGGCAGCATGTAAATGGCAAAACATGGTTTATTTTGTTTGCTTTCTGTTTATCTGCAGGTTTGTCTGTTTGTTTATAAATTTTGGTTAATACAGAGCATGTAGATCAATAATGGCCTTTCAGAAAAGTAGGTCTGCAGCATCTACAATTCATCCTTCAGAAGTCTCACCAGAGTCATACAGTGAAAAGCACAACAGTCTGCGCTGCATCCTGGATCAAGTGGCAGAGTTTGACATGGTCAGAAACTGGGAGTAATGTGGGCATAACTACTTCCGTAACTGCTGGACTTGGCTGAAAAAGCTGTAAACACAACACTGACATAGTATTATCCCTTAAAGCTGTGGCAAACATTTTGCCTATGTACACACCCAGCAGACAGAGCAAATGTAGCATTCATTTAGAGTTGTATTTGTGTCCTTTTTATACAAAACTCGAGTACAATATTCACCCTCTTTTTACTCCCGTTCTGTTCTCCACTAACTCCTGAAGTAGATATCTGGCACTTTAGATGCTAAATGCTTCGGTATGTTCACCAGCTAGCCGCTAACTTTGACCGTCTGTTTTTCACTGTTGGCAGGTAGTGTACTGTCTATTTATCTGAGCTTTTTGGCTCAAAACAGTTCCCTGCTACGGAAACCATGAAACCAAGCTGAAAAAACACAAAAACATCTTCAGGGTCAGATGATAATTATCTGTGGTTGGTTCCAACAAGTGACACCTTTCACATTATATATGATAATTTGATCCATTGTCAATATAAAAATATTAAGAAATTTTAAGTCTGAAAGGGCCTTTTTAAGTATTTTCTTCCTAGGGCGAGAATGACATTGAGCTGCATATCACTGCTGTTACTTAATAATTATTCATTTTCAATAATCTTTGATCCCTTATGTATTTATCCATGCTCAAATTTAACTAAAAGCTTTCAAAATATTAAATTGTCTATATAATGGTCTATATATCCACCAGAATGATACAATGTACATAATTAAGTATTAGTACACATTATCTTAGAATATTGTAACATAAAATTTTGGAAGCCTGAATTGTTCTAGTAGCCAAGCATTCATTGAAAGACGTTAGTGAGTCTGACAAAGCTCAAAATACTTAGATCACCTGCAACATCCACCTTGAATTCTATATGGTCATCTGCGGCCTCACAGCTGTACACCCCAGAGTGTGTGACTTCTGCTGATTGAATAACTAGTGCTCTCAGATTTTCTTTTGTCTGGATTTCATATTCACTCTTTGGAAGTAGCTGTTCTCCATCCTTGTGCCAATAGACCTGGGCAGTTGGCTCTGAGACTTCACACTGCAGCTTAATTGGGCAGCCTGCCTCAACAAATTTGTTTCTTGCAACCTCTGGAAGTGCTGAAAACCTCACAGGAGTAGCTGGGGGACATCATAAGAGTAATGCAGAGCACTGCTGTTAAGCTGTCAGAATGTCATTAAACAAGTAGTGCTGTGCACATGAAACATTTTGTTTAGCTCTGTTTTCATAGTGTTACAAAAATACTATACTTTCTTTAAGAGTAATTGTGCAAAGAAGTGTACAGTTAAGGGTAATTAAGTAAATGCTAAAATGTTTAGCTCACATTAGAAGCTCATTCATTCAGACTGAATACAAGAAAATCACCTTCGACGTCCACATGGAATGTCACAACATCCTCAGCGAGGCTACAGCTGTAGAGGCCAGCGTCAGAGACCTTGGCTGAATGAATCATTAATTTTCTGAAGCTGCCATCTCTTTTCATATCGAGGCCTGTTTTGCAAAAAAGCTCCACCCCATCTTTAAACCAGGAAACCTGGGCAACAGGGTCTGAGACCTCACACTGGAGGATAATTGGACAACCAATTGCAATCGTCTTGTTTCTTTCTGACAGGGGGACTGGCATGATCTGTGGCGATCGGCCTAAGAGAAGGAAATAACAAAGGTTTTGTACAAGAGGTCACTAACATTGGACAGAGCACATGGCCCCGCCAGTAATACCACGTTCTGATGAACATTCAAAACTACCATAGAATAAGATGGACGTGGTATGTATAAGAAGATAGTAAGGATAGAAATAAATCACCTTTTACGTCCACTTTGAATGTGACGGTATCATCTGATGTTGAACATTCATAGGTGCCACCATGTATGTTTTCAGATGAACAGATGAGTAGTTTCCTTGTTAGACCATCTGACTGTATCTCCACATTGTTTTGTGGCAGGAGTTTCATTCCATCCTTGTACCAGTCCACATGAGCAGAAGCATCATGACAGAGTTCACAGCTGAGGACAATGGGAGTGCCTTCTTGAACGGATTTGTTCCTGTCAGTCTCCTGAAGCTCTGAGAACTTCACAGGTAGTGCTATAAGTTTCAGATGTTGCAAAAAGAGTATCTTAATAAGCTTCATAAATGTAATTTCTTGAAGTAATTAAATATCCAAACTACTGTATATTCCGTTACAAAGATATCAAGATAGAAACTGAAATTAACCAAAGCACACAGAGGGCAAAACTCCTTCAGAACAAAGCACATTTGACAAAACAACATAAATACAACATGTGACATCACAAAGACTATAAGTAAAACATACATTATTCAAAAGCGCAAGAATCAAGAGTTATCCACAATAATTGTACACTGACATAAAAAGCACAGACAAAAATAAACGGGTAAGACACAAACAAGAAAGTTACAGTGTTTGTTTATGGCAGTGGTTCCCAACCTTTTCCAACTCATGGCCCACTTCTCAATGTTGGTGGCCCACATCCGACCCCATTACAATATGGATGCCAAATAATACGTTCTCAAAGCACTTTTAATTTTAAATAATGGTCAAACATTCAGGATTGAACTGAAAGCAGGGGAAACGTAGTAAACTCAATTTTTCCCTTTACAGCAGCGAGGTCACTTGTCGATCCACCATCTTTTGACTCCTTCTTTTTAATTCTTCCTGTTGCTAACCAGCTATCCATTTTAATACACTCCAGTTTTTCTCATGATTGTAAACTTAAGCGCACAATCAGACTGAGATAGAAAACAAATATACCATGTGGTCTGGCCAGTGACAACATAAAAGTTCCTCACACTGGTAAATCTAGGGTTAGGAAAGGAGTTTTTAAACATGTTTAATGTTTTTAAAGATCATTTAATTTTAAAACATTTAAAAACATTATTTATATTTTTTATAGTTAAATTTTTTTGTCATGGGCAGCATGGTGCTGCAGTGGTTAACAATGTCACCTCACATTGAGAAGGTTAGAAGGTTCAGAGTTCGAACCCCACGCCTGGGGCCTTTCTGTGTGGAGTTTGCAGGTTCTCCTTGTGCCTGCGTGGGTTCTCTCCAGGGGCTCCGGCTTGCTCCCACAGTCCAAAAGACATGCGGGTTAGGTTAATTGGTGACTCTAAATTGCCCATAGGTGTGAATGTGCATGTGAGTTGTTGTATATCTCTATATGTCAGCCTTGTGATAGACTGGCGACCCTGCCCTTGCGCAATGTCAGCTGGGATTGGCTCCAGTGCCCCTGCAACCCTATAAGGAAAAGTGGTATAGCTAGATGGATGGATTTTTTCACCAAAACTGTACTGTTTTGCAAGCGATTTGTCAGCCCACTTGCAATACCTTTGTGGCCCATCAGTGGGCTGTGGCCCACAGGCTGGGAACCACTGGTTTATGGTAAAGGAGCAGTATTCAGTTAGTGTCTTCAATGAAAAAGAAAGAAATGCTAGCTTTCTTAAGTTATTGGACATGCATAACAAGAAGCTGCATTTTGAAGCTGAATGTTTACTAACATGTTTGGAGAGGAGACATCCTATATTGTTTATTTTAACCTTTGTCAAAAACTTATTCTTTAACTGACATGACATGACATGCAATGACAAGCTAAAGTTGCACATTGAAATGTTCTTAAATTTTGCCTTTGTTTTAGTGATTTATTCATCAACTTGCAGAAATCATTATTATTGTTGTTATTGTTATTATTGTTATT